TTTCAGGATCGGTATCAAAATCATTTACATTGCTTACTCCTAAACTAATTCTAATACACAAAGTATGTTCGTTCGCTCGTTCGTTCGTTTCAGCAGATCGCTGAAAGAACAAAATATGTATGTAATTCGATAAGCATATTTCTTTAACGTTACGTATTTAGTGCCAGCCACGATGGATCGCCATAAAACTTATACACACTAGTAGCTGCTGTGTGCGATCTAGTCTAGACAAATAAATGGCCCAGACGATGTACCAGACCCGCTGTATGTGGCCAGATAGCTGGATCACCGCTCTATTAATATCAAACCTCATTTTACGGATCATACAACTTAATGAGTTGGTCGCGTAATATCAGGTGTGGTATTTTATAATGGCGGTATACACAGAAATGATATCTACTGCTGCAGCTACTATGAATATATATAGCTCGTATTGGCCTTTGACCTTATATTGCAATAACTAGAAAATCTATTTTCATATATTTTCTTTCAAATGAAAGACGTCCAATGACTGGACAAAATCTTCCCTAAGAATTTCGACAACTATTAATTATATTTATTAATATTTTGGTAACAAAAACATCTTGGGTTATAGGCTCCTTTTCTCCGAGCATAAACTAATTTAGAAACAAGATTTTCTTTAACGATTTTTCAAATAAAAGTTTTAGGACATAAAAAGTGAAAGCTACCCGATTAAGCTGCGACCCTTTAATTAATGTGCTTTCCCCAGCCCCAGCTTTAGTTTAAGCTTTTAATTATCCATCTGAATGAATTTGCATTCTAAATCAAAAAGTTTAACTATCTCGGGTGATTCATTAATTATTGTTAAACTTGTTTCTTCAATTTAAAGTAAATGTTTTTGTAAACATTTATAGTAAAACTCGCTATGAGAAGTGATGATTTTTTAGGGTTCCGTAGCCAAATGGCAAAAAACGGAACCCTTATAGATTCGTCATGTCTGTCTGTCTGTCCGTCCGTATGTCACAGCCATTTTTTTCCGATACTATAAGAGCTATACTGCTGAAACTTGTTAGGTAGATGTATTCGGTGAACCGCATTAAGATTTTGATGCAAAAATAAAAAAATAATAATAAATATTGGGGGCTCCCCATACTTAGAACTGAAACTCAAAAATTTTTTTTCATCAAACTCATACGTGTGGGGTATCTATGGATAGGTCTTCAAAAATGATATCGAGGTTTCTAAAACATTTTTTTTTCTAAACCGAATAGTTTGCGTGACAGACGCTTCCAAAGTGGAAAAAAGTAGCTCTAACTTCTAAAATAAGAAAATGAAAAATCTAAAAAAAACATAAATGATGTACATTACTATAAAAAGTACCAACGAAAAATGTTTTGAACGAGATCTAGTAAGTAGTTTTTTTTTTAATACCTCGTAAATCGTAAATTACCGCGTAATCTTTCATACTAATAACTTAAATAAAAAATAATAATTTTGATTTCATAAATCAATGGTACGGAACCCTCGGTGCGCGAGTCCGACTCGCACTTGTTTTACATAAGATTATGTATATTTCATCATAAAGGTAGCAGGAAAGCGCTGGACGCAGGCCGCTACCAACCGGGTAACATGGAAAGCATTGGGGGAGGCCTGTGTCCAGCAGTGGACGTTCTATGGCTGAGTTGATGATGATGATGATGATATTATTATGTATTTTTAGCGTTACAAATCAGAAACTATCTGAAACCAGATCTTATCGTATCGATGAAATTTTAAAGACCAATGTTTTAGTTCCGATTAATATAATTCTTTACGATATATTAGTACATCGAGCGTAATCAAATATCCGTACATCCCACCTACAATTAGCTACTACTATTTCACCCAAAACACTATGAAATGTTACCTATTACAATATTAATAGCTAGCCAGGAAGCGCCTATTAATCAAAATGTGGTTTACTCAGCCGACTTATTGGCGGCCTTGAGAAATGTGAGACGAGAATTTTATAACAGCTACGTTCATTAATTAGATCCTTGTAACTGGATCACCCACAATTACCTACTTTCAGGTCGATGGCTCATTTGAAGCATCACTCTTCATTGTGATGCGAACAGGTCCCTATTTGTTTCCCCTAATGACCAACAACAGCGAGCGGCGCTGATTGAAAACTAATTACTGGTTGATCTCGGCTCGCTCGTGCGCGGCTCAGTGCGGACGCCGCATGACGCCGCGCCGCGCCGCGCCGCAATCAACGGCGCGCGAAGTGCGGCTTGGCTCTAGGTCACCCGGTACAGCCAACTTAGGACAAGGTCACAAATATTACTGGCTAACTATTCGTAGTTACCTACACTGATATTAGCACGTTACTACCTTGTTTAATATACCACGCAATTTTGTATACAGATACACCATACAAGAATGCGTGGTTAATTCAGTGAACTGCTCCTGAATCAAATGTACCTACTACTGCTTTTTCTATTTATTTATATTAACCGGCAGACAGTGGTAACTGAGTTTGTTGCGGCGCTTCTTCTAAGCTCAGCACTTGCCAAATGTTGGTCTCGAAGCGCTGGTAGGGTAAAAAGATTATGAGACATGTAAAGGCTCCTTAAGAGCAAAATATTTGACGATTTGTAAGAACTATTTAGTAGTCTATACAAATAAAGAAATTTTGACTTTTGCGAGAAATCCTATACATACTCGTAGTTTGGAAATCAATATTTTATGTTAGCCACCACGGCACACAAATATGACGTATCTATTTCTTATTCTTTCAATAATATTATGATTCAACTACTTATTGCAAATGGTTATGTAGAGATTGGGTAGGTTTTGTTGATAGTAGTGCTCGTTATCTAGGATTTATAGTAAGAAAGTTCATTGTACCCGAGTTTCAGAAAAATACACGAACATTTTTGCCGTTCTCATTCGAAGGTTCACTTGACGCATTACCGTACATCAGCATTGACTCCGACGTCGGTATCTGAAGCTCAAGCGCAGGAAGCCGCCGTTAAATTGATTTAATGTGGTTACAGATTCGTTGGAATGCGCACGACTGCGGTATAACGGCGGGCACGGGCCGCTGGACTAATAATTACTTTATCATCACACGCCATTACGCCATTTCGCTAACTATTATGTGTGATAAGCGTGGTTTACATGAAGCGATTCAATTATTCTGATGATGTATACGAATATTCTGTAATAATGTCGACCTACAAGCTTTCAAGAAGAGAGCGTATTTACACCTTAAAGGCCGGTAACGCACCTGTAACGCCCCCAGCTGCCACAACGGGTGTCTATGGCCGACGGTAATCACTTACCATCAGGTGATCAGTCTGCTCCTCTCCTGTCCCATTAAAAAATGTGTATACCTACTCGTAGAAGTCACCTTATTCCTGGCGTATGTAAAACAACTTCTGTAGAATTTCATATTATATTAAGAGAAGATCATACCTACTAGCCGACTTGATCCACTTCCAAAGTTGTATTTAGGATTCATCTTTTTTAGGATTGTAAAATTAACTAAGTAAAATAATTTGTGTTTGGACAGACCCCTTCACAAATATAATTATTTGTCCTAGGACGACCTAGTTTATAATATTCGTAGGTACTCGTACGAATATAATTTATCATTTCAGAGAATTCAGACTACTCTTGAATTTATTTATGTTTCTTATCGCGGTATCTGACTGCTAGTTTGACGTCTATCATAAGTGCAGCAAAAGTTATTTGGGTGATGTAACATTAACTTTAAATTACCTATTTTATACAATCAGAGATTGCGCTTAGAAAAGCATATTAAGCTTATTTTCACCAGCAAATACTTATCTTAACTCAAGAAACCGAGAGAAAAGTCTAATCTTTATTCACTGAGCCGAGCCAGTACGGCCACAAAATATCGTTGCGCACTAAATAACGCTTAATTGGCGCTCTACATCACTCGCAGCGCGCGTATTGGTTGGTAATTTGAGACAAATCTCGCCATATGACGCTCACTAGTGCTTAGCTCATTTAGCTGTAATTGGTATATTAGTTTAATAAAGCATCAAGCAGCAATAGCGGCTTATCTTTATACTAAAATTATACATACGGCTTAGGTATTACTTATTATGAGCGAAGTAATCAATGTACACTCGACCTACTATTAACTCACACAAGCATCAATCACCCACCCATTATAACATTGATTTATAGTACTAATGCGTATACAGATCTTTCCAAACACAAAAATCTTGGCAAACACCAGTTTTGGTCCCCACGAGACAGGCTCGCCTAGTGGGTGGACCAAAGATACCTTCTCTCATATAGGTACATTACATTAAAATAAGAGCTTCCTCGTTGTGGATAAAAAAAAGTCCGTACATAGAATAAGTAAGATTATTTATCTTCTTTTTGTAATGTTTTAAGAATCCTTATACTTGATATGTTTTAGTTTTAAGAATTCCTTTTTGATTTTATTATACTATATTAATATATTAATGCTCCGTTGCCGTTACCAATCGCAATCGCAACGACTGACAACAGATTTACATTAGTTAATTAAACACAATTTTACAGTTTTCTAATGCGCCGTAGAATTTTTAGGCTGATTCTGAGATAAGCAATCGGTTCAGCAAGTCGATAAAATGTGCATAATAAGTATTTTGTTTACCATTATTCACCGTCTATCTTACCAAGTCGTCAATTTTTATTCTAGAACTTAAAAACTTAAAGTGTTCAAAACAGACGATAAGAATCTTGAACTAAGTTGCATATTGGGAACAGTCGAGACGAAATTGCTGCTCGAGCCAAAGTCGAGCCCACGAACTAAACTTAACTCGCATGTTTCAGTAATATTTGTTAATACGAGTAGGTACTAAACAAGTTAGACGTGTAGTGAAGCAAAAACTTCGCGACAAGGAAACAGTAGGTAGTTAAAACCATTTTATTTTAAAAAGAGTCAATTATATCGATGCTGCAGAGCTTAGATAAATAAATAAATAATTTATAATGCACGTCATGTACATGAACTTTCTGTATAGTCTTAATTTCAGTAATCCAAAAGATATTCAGAAGACAATGGCTCCCCACGCAGGCCGCGAGGCGAGTGCGAGCGGAGCGTGCCACACCGCGCGCCGCCCGCCGCCGCCGCCGCCGCCCGCCGTCCGCCGTCCGGCACTCCGCCGCGCTCCCACGCCGGGCCCGCGCGCGCCGCCGCTCCGCACGCGACAAACTTTACGCGACTTACGAGCAGCGCTCACCGGTCGCTCCACACCTCCTACCATGTGTGCAGTGGACAAGTTTCGGTCAAACGAAATCAATGAGAAAGAATATTCACGTTACTGAATAGTAGTTTCAAAGTATCAAATAATGTGCCAACATTTTTTAAACTACTTCAATGTTACTTAAATGCAGTGCGTAGTGTTAAAATAATGCCAACGTTGTAAAGTAATGTATTCGATATAAGTTATCGGTTAATTATGACGAAGAAATAATGTGTTCTTCCATCACGATGCGATACGAGCGTTTGTAAAGTATGGCGCGAGCTGTGGCGCTGACGGCGCTGCTGGCGCTGCTGCAGCCCGCGCACGACGCGCGCCGCGTGCTGGCGCCCGAGCCCGCGCGCAATCGCACGCCCGCCGCCGGCCGCCTGCTGCACGACGCCGTGCGGTGGCTCGCGCCAGACCCGGCTCAGCCCGACAGATTCACCAGAATTCTCCACCGAATTGTTATTTTGGATGAACATGAACATTTTCTGCTGAACTCGTCACTCACTCTGAGCGACCATTTGAAATTGCTCGATGGCTCCGACGACCTTATGATATTCGAAAACTACGTGACCAAGAAATATGGCCGATTCAAGAGAGCTGCTCACTCGTTGATTTCACCCTTTGACATGTCCAAATTGTTCAAAAAAAAGAAATTAAAAAGTAAACAAGAAGGCCCATCGGCACCGAGTGCAGCTCCTCTTCAGTCGAGTGACAAACTTTTTGGATATGAGCCTACGGCTGTGGCGACGGCTTCTTTGCCTCCGATTGAGCTTACTATAACACATAGTACAGAAAGTCCCACTCCGGCTTCGACTGCGCCTGCAATTAAAATCACGGCAGTCACGATGCAGCCCACTTTAGACACGGCGACTGAAGTGAAAGCTTCGAACATAGTTCAGGTCTCGTCGTTGACACAAAAGCCCGCCGTAAGCACAAGCAAGCCGAGCAAGCCCCGGTCTAAAAGTAAGACGAAGGCGCCTCGCAAGCCCAAGGCCGCCGCGCCGCTGGCCAGCCGGCGCGAGGCGCGCGTGGCCGTCAAGAAGAAGGCGGACAACGAGACCGCGTGGCCGGTCAAGCACGCCGCCGTCGTCGAGGGGGACATCGTGCTGGGGGGACTCATGATGGTTCGTCTTCATTTCATTTTCCATTTAATAGTCTGTGTACATCCGTGTTTTTGTATCTAGTAACATGAACTGTCACGTATAAGTAGCTTACTTATTTACCCAGTTAAATATGCAGTTAAAAGCACAATACTGCAAAATCACGACTATTCATATATTTTAATAACATCATCGAGTAATTACTGTGTCATCATATTTTTTTACCTTTTTTTCGTCGATAAAAATAGGTCTAGTTTCACCTATTTTCATATGTGGTGCACTTTATCAAAACTGTGTGCTTACCATGAGTTTACTGTATAACTTTTGATGTCGTTGTGAATCGACTTTATTGAGTCATCATCGTTATCAAATAAGGTTTGCGTTCCGTAGCTGGTTCTATGGTTTAATATTCCTCGTATGTGATTTTTACATTACTAAATAATTTTAAACTGAATATCAGTATTCCCTTTTCCCACCCACTCATTAAATCTAATTAAGATGGTAGGTACCGCCAAAGTGGTCCCGTATACACACAAATACTCTAACTCAAGGACGTTCGATATGAAGATTCCACATTTCTCGGATTAGGATCATAACCAGTGCGTGATCGCAACTGATTATAATATTCTGAATTTACTGTAAAATAAATAGGTACGAATTGTAAGAATCTAAAGTGGTTGGTTATAAATCGCTATGCCCTATTGCAAGTCGCAACAGCGCGCATTATTAAAGTTAAACGTATAGGTAGAGTGATACAAAAAAATTAATAAGTAGCTCACACTCACAAGATTTACATCCCGTACGCAAATAAACAGGAGACTATTTTCAACAGTATTTGTCAATCAGGCAAGTACCTACCCACCCGTATTAGGGTACTCATATACGCCATCTATTCGAAGGTTATTCACACAATTTTTCTTCGTCGGTTATTGACATGACCGCATACATCAATTCAACCAAGTTCTCTTTACAAACGGAGCATAAACCAAAATTGATATTCGCTGGGAGAAATTTATGGGGCGCCCGTACAAGTAACAATAGGTGGTATTCTTTACACACGCTACACGAGGCGCGGCGGCGTAAATCAAGCCGACAATCGCGCTCAGTCAGCGCGGGCGGGCGCGAGCGCGGCCACTAGTCAACCGAGCTCGACTTTATAGTGTAGCTAGGACATGCGTTGCTTTCGTGTGAAATACAAAAAATATCTTAGGCGTTCTTGTAACATAAGCGGCATATCCCGCATATCTTACAGTAAACAACCTCAAACAAACTGCTAAACATTAATGTCGTAAAAATTGTCAAAATTCAAACCTTTTCGGGTTTCTGCTTCAGGCGTTACAATTTCAAAACACGTTAGGTATTGTTTTGATCTCTTTACATTTTCATTATAATCATTTATTTATTTAGAATATATAAAGCTTAGATTCTACATGACTATTGTCAAAATCGTATAGGAAGCAAACACAATTAGCTCCATCGCTGATTTTACTAATAGAATATCAGAAACACTAATGCCTAAAAGATACCCAGGTAGGTAGGTACTATGTTTTTTCTTCTGTTAAAGAACAGTAGTTCAGAAGACTATAATATTGAATAATAATATGTTTTGTTTCAAAACAAATAAAAAGAAAAAAATGTTTGTGATCTAGCATTTAATACCATAACTTGAGGCGGCCTGGTGTTGCAAATGTTTATCGGCCCAACCCTCCCCATCCGATGACACGTTTACCCTTCACTATAAAAATATAATTGAGTCTCCCGTACGCGATATTCTTGCAAATTTTCATGCAAATAGTCCCCAGCTGGGTAACAGATGGATCGACATCATGACTATGTTTATGTATGTAGAGTAGACCCATCAATTAAATTGTGTAGGACTCCTCTAAAATTGGATTCCTCTGCATTTTATGTAAATGGTCATTGGTCATGTCAAAAATGTGTAGGTATTAAAGTCCTGAGGCGGATTTCAACGATTCTCTTTTAAAATAAATACAAAGTCATATCTAATTTTATGATTTATCCATCAATTATTTTGGTTAAACAAAAAATCTGTAAATATTTAGGTACTCAAGTAGGTACATTCTCCGAATCACACCTGTAACGTACGAGGACTTGTGGATGCTCGGCCGCCCGTTGAAACTTTCCGACGCCCATTGCGGGGCATCAGCCCGTCTTCCAACTTTTTTCCTTTTGTTTTGACTGCCAACGAAACCTTACACAATCTCGCAATGAGGATCAGTACTGTTGTAGAAAATTCAATAAAACTAGTAGGTATCTAGGTACGTTCATCTTTAAGACATAAGAAAGATATATCTTTTTGAAGTATCCAAATCGGACCATTACTTACGAAGATATTAAGTAATAAACATAGGCCGTTTTTGCCGCTAAAAGTCAACGTACGCAAGGCCGCGTGACGTCATTATATCCGAATCGAGCGCAGCCGGCGTACTAATGGGATGGAAAATATTTTTTTCCGGCTAAACTATCAGTTTTAGAAAAAAACTTTTAATAACATTTATTCTTCAAAATAAAGTAACCTATCGACCAGTAATTTTTAAAAATAAAAATTGTGAAAATAAGTATTGCTATGTCCAAAAACCACATTTTCATAGGATTCGATGCAATGCGGAGACGCGGTTGGGGTGAGTGTAACTTAATGATTGTTTGTATTGAACATAATAATACATAATATGATGCTAATACCCAGTTTCTGGCCTGGGGGGGGTTTTTAAAAATTACCTATCGATAGCTTACTTTATTCTGATGAATAAATGTCATTACAAGTTTTTCTCTAAAACTGATAATTTGGCTAGAAAAAAATATTTTCTATCCACGCAGTACGCCGGCAGCGTTCGGATCGGATATAATGACGTCATCGTCCCCGCGCCGGGCGGTCAGTGAACTTTTTTAGTAATTTGGCCATAACTTCGTCAATTTTTGTCGTAGAACAAAAATTTTTGCACTCTGTATTAAGTATTTCTTAGCCCTATAAATCTGCATTCCCAGCTAAAAATCGAAATGATCCTCATTGTTTTGAGTCGTGTTCAACGAGACGACGACGCTGATTTGTATGAATAAAGAGTTCAAGATTGAGAATGTGGCATGTATTCTTTTGAATTGATGAGTTTTGAGTATTATGACAATGTTAGTAACGTTACAAATAAATAGCTTTTGATATTGTGTAGCTAGTTTCCTTCGCCCGTCTGAAAAATATTTTTTTTAAATATAATAATATTAATGTCGACTTATCGGAATAAAAAATACTGCTTATCTAGGTATAAGAAATCAATCACGCAAAGAACTACTACTTACTTTAAACTCATAAAAATAAGTTTTTGGCCGCGTGAAATTCAGTTTGTCACAGGTCGTTAATTACAGCCTACCTATTTATTGTTATTTTGATGTATAAACAATAACACTGTCAAGTTTCACTAAAATCCGTCGAGTAGTGTTTGAGTGGAAGAGCTGTGGAAAGAGTAACAAACATTCATACATCCATTCATATAAACTTTTACTTTTAATAATTTAGTAGGATTTGAATCGATTGAAAAATGTGTAATTTTGGGCAAGTATTGTGGCTGGTATAGGTGTTGCAATTCACGAAGGCGAGTGGGCTTTACATGTGTGGTGGCTCGCTGCTGTTCGTTTTCAAAAGTTTTGAGAGACATTACACTATCGTAATGTGCATGTACACGTACACACGCCTTCGTGAGTTGCAAGAACTGTAATGGGTATAGACTAAGAGCTAGTGAACGCCAAACCTACGTCATTTTATAAAAGTTAACAGTTCCAACTCCTTGCCAGACAATCTTTTGAGGATAGCTGCCAAAGCCACGATGACCCAAATTTCATAACGCATCAATATTCTTATCTATAGGCATTTATTTATTTTTATTTTTATTTTATTTATTAGGACAACCAACAAGACAAACACGCATACATGAAATTACTATAACTAAAAGTGCTTAAAACTAAGTGCTGTCTTAATTAAAGGCTGCCACGGCATGCAATGTGGACAGTTGCAAATATAAAAACTAAGAGATAGTAGGTAACACAGTGAAAATTTGAAATGTAATGAACATTATGAATAAATTTCTTATACATTATTTACGTATTTGCTGTGTGGCTGTAAGGGACCTCAGCACAGCGCGCCTGAATTTCAAGAATTTGAAGCATATGCTGACAAAATTTTAAGGTTTTATAAAATGAGGTAGTTCAGGCGTTCACTAGCTCTTAGTCTAGTGATGTACTCGTATGGTCAGGTGCACAGCCGGTCGGAGGGCGCGACGTGCGGGCCGGTGATGGCGCAGGGCGGCGTGCAGGCGCTCGAGGCCATGCTGTTCGCGCTGGACGAGGCGGCGCGCGCGCGCCTGGGCCCGCCCGGCGTGGCGCTGGGCGCGCACGTGCTCGACGACTGCGACAACGACACCTACGGCCTCGAGATGGCGCTCGACTTCATCAAAGGTCAGGGCCAGTCTGTACGTTAATATAATACTAGCGGCCACCCGCGACTCCGTACGTCCGACTCTTAGGGGTTTCGTAGAATATGTTCTTAGTGAGCACCTACGTTCTAAAAGGAACCCCCATTGAAAATTTGAGACTCCTAGCACTTGTAGTTTCTGAGATTTTGTGAAGAGTGAGTGAGTCAATCAGTGACCTTTCGCTTTTATAAATATAGATTTTGTTCGTTTCAGCTAAATGTCGTCTACTGCTGCTGGACAAAGGCCTCTTTCAAATATTTCCACAACCGATCCTGCGCCGCCCGCATCCAGGCACCTCCCGCGACCTTCACTAGATCGTCGGTCCACCTAGTGGGGGGCCTGCCCAAACTGCGTCTTCCGACCTGTGGTTGCCACTCCAGAACTTTTCTTCTCTGCAAGCTATGTGCCCCGCCCACTGCCACTTCATTTTAGCAGTTTTGCGAGCTATGTCGGTTACTTTGGTTCTCCTGTGGATCTCCTCATATTTTATCTTTCAAAGAACAAATTCAAAGAACGACCTACATAGAATACAACATAAAGTAGGTCTAACTAGTATTTATTATTCGCGTGTCTGTGTTCAGTAACTTTCCCGTTTTCTCGCAATATACAGGTATCTGTTTCTCTCTACCAGTAAATTGGTAGTTAGCGCACTGTTAGAAGTAACAATGTCCTAACTGCCAATTTGCTGAGCCCTAATAGGTACTAAATAAACAAGGTAACCCAGGTTGTAGATTGCGAGTTGTTACTATACATTAATTTTATCAGTACCTACTTACACGATTTATTAATGGTAAAAGTACTAATAATACTTTTACTTTGTAATTTTGTTTTCGACACAAAAAAAAATTGACACAAATTGTACAAAATAAATAAAAATAAATGCTTCCTCGTTGTGGATAAAAAAATAGTAATTTCACCCGATGTTGAAAAATATGACTTTTCTCCAGGTTCCATAAGCAACATCGACGACGCGGAGTACGCGTGCAACGCGACGGCGGTGCGCAAGGTGATCTCGGGCGTGGTGGGCGCCGCGTCCAGCGTCACCTCCGTGCAGGTCGCCAACCTGCTGCGCCTCTTCAAGATCCCGCAGGTGCGCGCGACCAACAAATGGTGTTCGATGGAACGCGTCTACATGACGCCGGATATGCGGGCTACACGACAGCACAGCGATTTGATTTTGCCAAAATGTAGATTAACGAAATAACCTGGTATAAATCATAAGTTCTTATTGTATTTCTTTTGTGCCGAACTCTACCAAATTGGTACCTGATTATCTATTCCAATTCCAATCCCATCACTGTAATAATATTCTGTCTGTAACATTTTTTCAACGTTACTTGAAAGTCTTGGAACTAGAGTCAATTAGAATTTTATTTACGAAACACTAGAGTCGCCTCGTTGGCAGGAACCAGAAAAGTTAAGTGGACTCGTGTACTGCCAATAAAAGCAGCCGCCTTTTAAAATTCTCAAAACAAACAGGTACCTAACCAATGATTAAAAATAGGTACGTTTGGCGGAAATTGAAAATCAATTTGAAGTAAATGCTGAGTCGATAGAAATGCTGGGGCGATATCACATTGGATTTATATGTAAGACCGTTATGAAGAAAACGCTTTTTTGATTCTTCGGATCATCGAATCTCAGAAACGCTGACTCTTAGGAGAAAGTGTATAGACAATTACACTTTAATACAATTAGGCTAGTTTCCTAAAAAAATTTTTTTAGTCCGTAATGTTTAAAATATCAAAAAATATTGGACACATATATTTTTATTTGTCAATCTAACAAATAATTACATAGTTATGGTGCGTTGAAGTTCCGCACGACTTCACAACGTGCGGCACTTTTATGCACGCATTGACGTCACGGGCCTCTTCTTATGAACTTTGGCGCGCTTTATCACTTTAAATTTTCATTAGTTTGAAAAAGTGAAAAATACGTGTAGAGTATTTTTTGATAAGTTAACTGACGGACTAATTAAAACTCTTGCTTTTTGACCCAGGAAACATCCCTAAACCTTGTCATACTTATTTTTGTGATAAAACTTACCGTTTAGCTGAAAATCTCAAAAACCCGTATTTTTTAAGTTTGACCTTGAATTTTTTTTTAGAACATGTCGGATCGATGGGGACTTTTCACAGTTAATTTATAATGGTGCTCCGAACATTCGTATAAATTTTCAGATGTATGCGAATTAATGCAGGGTTCATGTCTAATTTGACTGGACTAATAGGTCGCGCAACAAGAGTTATAAAAAGATAATTTAGTACGTAAGTACGAGTAAACCTTAATCTTCAATATGAAAGTTACGAAGGTTATGAAAGTGACTGGGGTTATCTTTTGTATGGTTGTCGTAGGTGTCGTTCTTCTCGACGTCGCCGGAGCTGTCCAACAAGGCGCGCTTCGAGTACTTCACGCGCACCATCCCGTCCGACCTGCACCAGGTGCGCGCCATGGTCGAGATCGTCAAGAAGCTCGGCTGGCGATACGTCTCCATCATCTACGAAGAATCCAACTACGGGATCAAGGTACTTAAACCTTACAACTCCCTCCCTAACGAATATTTTCATGTATTTTTCTTCTTCTTCCTCGGTCCCTCACTGATGAGGATTGCGACCACATCTAGTGTTCCTCCACAGACTGCGGTCATAAGCTCATAATATTTTTACACAATAATTCAAAATATTCAATACTTCAGCAATATTTAACCTCCTGATCTTATCTAAAATTAACTAAACTTGTTACGTAAAGTTACTCGCGAAAACTCGTTAAAAATTTAATTAAGTATCAAGAATGTGGAAGTCATTAGGGGAGACCTATGTTCAGCAGTGGACGTCTTGTGATGAAATGATGATGATGATCAAAATTAAATATTTGTGACATAATGCGTAGATAACGATTTTTATGAAAATGCAATTTCAGGCCTTCGAAGAGTTGGAGACGTTGCTGGCGCGGAACAACATCTGCATCGCGGTGAAGGAGCGGCTCGTGAAGGACTCGGGCGAGGCCGACGACAACGCCTACGACGCCATCGTCGCGCGCCTGCTGTCGCGGCCCCGCGCGCGCGGTGCGTTCCCTGCCTCTGCATGCGTGAACTGCGTAGTTGTGTGGCGTTACCAATCAGTGGTCGGTGGTTGCAGGCGTGATCGTGTTCGGGTCGGACCAGGAGGTGGCGGGCGTGATGGCGGCGGCCACGCGGCTGCGCGCCACGGACGCCTTCGGCTGGGTGGGCTCGGACGGCTGGTCGGCGCGCGCGCTCGTGTCGGACGGCCACGAAGCGGCCGTGGAGGGCACCATCAGCGTGCAGCCGCAGGCCAACCCCGTGCGCGGCTTCCGCGAGTACTTCCTCAACCTCACCGTCGAGAACAACCCCAGGAACCCCTGGTTTGTCGGTAAACCTCGCGCCACGTGCTGCTAGCATTGCTTGCACTGTACTAACATGCATAGAGCATGTTAGTATTGTAGAATTTTGATAAAACTGTATTTTTTGTAGTAAATGTACTTTTGTTCAGCCAACTCGCAATATTTTGAGATAACAGATTTTTTTATGTTTCAAATCGCTAAAATACTGTAAAAAGACTTTACAGGCCAGCTATTCAAGTCAGAAATACTCGTATTTGATCCTTCATTATGCAGGAATTTAAAGAATTTCTATATAGTAAACTCGCATTTGAAACATTTCAGCAGGTTCATTAAGATTATCATGAATATGATTTCGAACCGATATTTCTGCGGCTGGTGGTGACGTTGGCATTGTGTGCGCAGAGTTCTGGGAGGACCAGTTCCGCTGCCGCTACCCGGGCAGCGCGCGCACGCCCTACAACGCGGCCTACGGCGCCTGCAGCGGCCGCGAGCGCCTGTCGCCCGACAACACGCACTTCGAGGCGCAGCTGCAGTTCGTGGCCGACGCCGTGCTGGCCTTCGTGCACGCCATCAGGTCACCGCCGATCCACCAATCAATACCTCGTGAACTCTCACAGTAAAGTCGTCACGACTTCCCATTAATGGTTAATGGCATCTGTATTTTAAATACTGTTACAGAGACATGCACACTGACCTCTGCGGTGGCAAACCTGGACTCTGCGAAGCGATGCGCCCTGCGAGCGGCGCTACCCTCTTACGATATCTTCGACAAGTACAATTTACAGGTATTCTATCAACTTTTACAGGAATTATTTTATATTTGTAAACATCACATGACTCAATAGATAAATAATTTCAGGCTTAAGCGGAGACGAATTCCATTTTGACAACAACGGAGACGGACCAGCGCGCTACAATATACTTCATTTCAAACAAGTTTCCAAAGGGGTTTACCGCTGGCTTAAAGTCGGCAGATACCTCGACGGGGAGCTGGAGTTGGATATGAATGGTATGTTTTACTATCAGTTGAAATAATGCTTCAGGATTAAAAATCTTTTAATTGCCCTGAGATTTTGATTATTGTGCTTCGTTTCGTAAACGATCGTGCTTAATGCAGAGATCCAGTTCAAATGGGACGAGCGGCGGCCGCCCGAGTCGGTGTGCAGCGCGGAGTGCGAGCTCGGGCAGGCCAAGCAGTACGTGGAGGGCGAGAGCTGCTGCTGGCACTGCTTCAACTGCACGCAGTACGAGGTAACACGTGTACAATGGTCGCATGGTCGGGGTGTCTTGATAGTAGCCTTAACCTGGACCGGCTTTAATCTAAAATGAGTGTTTGCAGATCCGGTCGCCGGTGTCGGAGACGGCGTGCGTGGAGTGCCCGCTGGGCACGCTGCCGGACGCGGCGCGCGTGCGCTGCGCGGCCGTGCCCGAGCTGTACCTGCGGCCCGACGCGCCCGCCGCCATCGGCGCCATGGCCTTCTCCTCGCTCGGCGTGCTGCTCACCACGTAACGTATCCGTGCCCCTGGTCGCCGGCAGTGACGCGCCGGAGCGGTGGTCGACAGCGGCTCGTGGTTGCAGGCTGGTGGGCGGCGTGTGGGCGGCGCGCGGCGACACGCCGGTGGTGCGCGCGAGCGGGCGCGAGCTGTCGTTCGTGCTGCTGGCCGGCATCCTCATGTGCTACCTCGTCACCTTCGCGCTCGTGCTGCGCCCCACCGACGTGCTGTGCTCGCTGCAGCGGTATGACTCTCGCGACGATTGTTTTTTCCTGCAATTACATTTTTAAATTCTAAATATAACTTCAAACTCTTCGCATCCGTTTAAGCTCAACCGACTTATCTAGTCGCAACAACTCGCCTACAGCTGCCGACTATAATGGTCAATGAGCGGAAATGCTAATGAGCTTAGCCACTACAAACTGCTATTATTAATCGCATTTAAAACTTCACATTTTCGTTGTCCGGGTGGACAGAAATCTATATTAGATAATCTGTATGTATAATACTTTTAAGTTACTTAATTAATTACTTATTTCAGTTTCGGAACTGGTTTTTGCTTCACCGTAGTCTATGCTGCTCTGCTCACAAAAACCAACAGGATAGCGAGAATATTTGACGCCAGTAAACATTCGGCCCGACGACCATCTCTAATATCGCCGAAATCTCAACTCGTCATTTGCTCAATCTTAGTATCGATCCAGGTCAGTACTCGTCTTCGTTGTCCCGACAATTTAACAAGAGTGTAAGTATGTACAAGAGTTGGTTCTCGCGCGCAGGTGGTGGTGGTGGTGGTGTGGCAGATCGTGTCGCCGGCGCGCGCCATCCACCACTACCCGAGCCGCGAGGACAACATGCTGGTGTGCGACTCGTACGTGGACGCGTCCTACACCATCGCCTTCTTCTACCCCGTCGTGCTCATCGTCGTGTGCACCGTGTACGCCGTGCTCACGCGCAAGATCCCGGAGGCCTTCAACGAGAGCAAGCACATAGGTACTCAATAAAGCTATTTCGTTTCACTTTAAAACATTTTCATCGTAACCGACAACAAAGCATTATATTGACAAAACCCTTGCGCTCATTTCTCACAGGGTTCACGATGTACACGACGTGCGTGATCTGGCTGGCGTTCGTGCCGCTGTACTTCGGCACCGCGAGCCACGTGCCGCTGCGCGTCACCAGCATGGCCGTCACCATCTCGCTCAGCGCCAGCGTCACACTGATCTGTCTATTTTCACCGAAGGTATTGTTTTCAAAAACGTCTCGTTATTTTCTCAGTTTCGACACATGATGAAACATGACGTATGTTTTCTCCGTTCCAGCTGTACATAATAATAGTGAGGCCGGAGCGCAACGTGCGAGCCAGCCTGATGCCGCCCAAGTGGCGCTCGATGAGCGGCGTGGGCGCGGGGGTGGGGGCGGGGGCGGGGGCGGGCGGGGCGCGGCGCGGGGCGGCGGGGGGCGCCGTGTGCGCCGCGCTCGTGGGCGCCGCGCCGCTGCCGCGCGCGCCCGACCTCACGCCCTCCACCGACCTCTCCACGCTCAACGACACCGGTGCGGTGACCGAGCGGCTCACGCTCTTTGACTTCTGTTCAATGACAAAAATACATAGAGCGCGGCTGAAACAATTTTTCCCCACATTTTCCAGAACGAAGCTCGTCGGACCGTCAGGTGCAGACGGACGAGAGCGCGCTGTACCCGCGCCTGAGCCTGGAGGCGCGCGCGGGCGACGGCGGCGTGCGGCTGGACGCGCGGCGGCTGGCGCGCGCCGGCCTGCCCGCCTTCCCGCCCGCGCCCGCCGCCCCGCCCCCCGCGCCCGCCGTGGCGCTCGTGGGCGCCGAGCTGGCCTTATAGCGCGGGCGCGAGCGCGCGAGGCCGCGACGCATGCCCGTGCTCGTGTGAGGCTGCGGACTGTCCGATTCACCCGTTGGCATTGTTTCGATCGAATACACTCCACAAGACGAACCGGATGGCACGACCCCGAATTAGCGACACCGAATTTAATTTACTTCCAATCCGTCGCTTGACTTGGGTGGGTCTTTCTAGTCTATTTTATTTACTCGAGTAAAAAAATTCAAAAGTTTCTGTATTTGGATAATTAGACTAATGAAAATGATAATAGTAGGTACTTGCAAATCTTGAATTTCCTATTTGGTCTATTAAATTTCCCTTGTATGTACAAGTACGATTGTATCCAAAGAGGTCCAACCGATTTGTTAAGGACAAAATATTGTTTCGCAGAGTTATTTATTAATTCGTCAATGTTGTACTTCTTCTTCTTCAGCCCAAAACTCCTCTACAAGAGTGGTGTTGTCGCATACATTAAAACGTCCTGCGTGCAGTTGTATGGTTGGGCACGCAGGGCACGATATCATGTGATTCATAGACTGGGGAACAAAACAGCACCTTGCACTCCCAAGTTTAAGCCATCCAAGAATCCTTACTATAGCCGACCTGCGTCAGAAGTAGATTTAAAGACTTCCAGGTAAACCAGGGGGGCCATGTCCAGGTGGAGGACTTTCAGACATAATAATTGCACAAATCTATGGCAGAACCATAAATAGTAAATATTCATTCCACTAGGTATATTAACTTTATGGGCAGAACTCAAATTGATGCATAACTAAGTAACATCTTACTGCAACAGTTGATCATTAATAGTTTTAAAAGTATGTTGAAAAAGTATTTTAAGAAATAACTGTAAAAATTGTAAATATAATAAGGTTATGTTATAACATAATAAAAAGAAACGAACCAATTTGTGATATTAATGTAAGCTAAATAAAAAGATTCATTACTGTATTGTACTTTTATTTACATGGCTCTCATGCCCGTTTTCACCATCAATCCCCAATTTATGTGACCCCTATGAAAACAAAGTTCCTGTTAATTGTTATCACAGGGCTCACTTAAAAAATAGGGATTGATGGTGAAAACGGGAATCAGTGAATAATTTAAGAACTACTATTTACAATTTTAAAAAGTTTATTGCTATTGGGTATTTGACACCATTCCCCAATAATTCTAAAGCACATTTTTTTTAAAAGACTTCATTCTGTAGGCGTCGTGTGAGATTACTTCAACTCCAACTAATCGTTATTAAAATTTATAAGCGAATTGAGTCGCTTCTCAAACTAGTTTTTTTCGTGGGTTCGAGTCCCGCCTTAGGCAGTTCGATTTTTTCAAGTTGTTTAGTTAAAATTTATTTAAAACTCTAACTAAGCCTCAATTAAGATTATTGGTTGCATTGTAATTGAAAAAAGTACACACCTAGGTACACTTTGTGCCTACACGATGTTCAGTACTCAGCGCGAGAGCAAAAACATTGTCGTATTTCCTTTTAAAACTACCTAGCTTACAAAATTACTAATTATTTTGTTTAAAATATCATCTTATAAAATAAAATATAAAGTTTACACTATTGCCATTGCTTTAATGTTTGTTCATGCCAATGTGGGTAAGTATTCGTATTTTTTCTTTTTTTCTTACCTACCCGCTTCTGTGTAATAATTTTAGCCCGTTATTATTCGCTGCTTTCTACACTAGTCTACGCACGGACATGGCTCACTCCGGACGCCGTCGCGCCGCATCGGCCTCTTCTTTCTGGAACCTTCTATTGTAGAAGCCCACCTCGCTGTACTATTCAGGCCTGAACTGTTCAGCCAACGCTGAGAACTGATAATATTGTGGAGTGTATTTTGTGAAGTGCATGTAATTATTAACCCCGATGCCTTCATTGACCGAATTGAGGCTGGTCCTTCATCATCTTCCATCTTCGAGGGCAGACAAGAGATTGGGAACCGCGGTTCATGCTGGTGCTGGTGGATTGCAGAACGGGTGAGTACGCTGTTCGTTTGTAGTTGTAGAATGCAGCAATCTTCCTTTCTTTATCTCTTTTCTGAAATTTTAATTACCACGACCTACCTATTAATAGTGAATATTAAGCCGCACCCCCTGTGTCAGTAGAACTTTAATTTACAATATTTTTTGTGAAGCAATAGTTTTTACTTTTATAATATTCAGTGTGCTAGACCTAAATAAACTTTGAGAGCTGTTTTGGCCAGGTGAAATATTTAGGTAGGTACCTATAGTATTCGAATATAATTCCTGGCAATAAGTGGTGACTGAGTTTGTTCCGGCGTTTCTTCTCAGCACTTGCCATATGTTTGTCTCGAAGCGCTGGTAGGGCCCAAAAGATAAGGAGACATGTAAAGTGCCCCATAAGGACTACCCTTTCTTTTTTTATTATTTTCTATTGACGTTCATAAGTGCCACTTGTGGTCTAAACTGCATAAATATTTTTGATTTTGATTTTGATTTTGAATTGTAAGTTTAAACTCGTACAATAACTAGCTGTTAGGACAGTATAGCCTATATTTTATTCTGATGTGTAAACAATAATAGCCATTTGCATGAAGAGCATTTGCACCATGGCGACTAAATAAGCACAATGATAATGGTTATAACTATATTCGGACTTTAGCTCCTTCAAGAATTTATCTGCAATATCACCATCACACTAGTTTATTGCTCGACCTTACTGATATTAATTTTATAGTATCATAATTATTTAATTGTGTTTGTGTATTTATTTGACTATTTTTCTTAAGATTTATAATAGAACTGTCTTCGTCATTTCGCTAAACCCATAATAAGTGTTGCAATTTGCAATAGCCTACCTTATACTTGTGAGGTACCTACGTCCTACTCGTATGGTGATGATGATTGATGTGTGAGTTGTAAAAGTAATGCAAGTGTAAAATCGTATTATCTCACTTAAATTATAGCCTATGTTATTCTGATGTGTAAAAAATATTACGGAAAAGTTTCATCAAAATCAGTTCAGTAGTTTTAACGTGACAGAGCACCAGCATGTTATCATTCATACAAACTTTCACATTAATAATATAAAAAGGTTATGTTATTACTTTTATAGTGTTAGTGTATAAAATTTTAAAGTTTTTGTTAAAAAAAAAGCATTTAAATTATTATAGTAAAAGTATAATAATAAGTAAAAATACTTTATTTTAAAATATTTTGTTATTTTGAAATGTCTATTTTATCATATTGACACAATTTAAAAAGATAAACTCAAACAAAATAGCATGCTTTGAAGAACAACCGGCCCCGTGACAAACGAGAACCACGTGCGTGCGTGCGGGTGCGGGAGCGGGGCGCGGCGCAGCCTAGCATGGTAAATCACCCTGTAGCCCCAAACGCTCGCGCGTGCTCCGAATGGTCCCAGCAACCTACCTCTAATTTTTCAGTTATATCAAACGTGGGTTTTTGGGGACCTAACGCGGGTTGAGTTAGGTTTCTTCAAGTTAGGTTCTTTTCAGAACCTAATCCATTTTCAGAATGGTCCCAGCAACCTACCTCTAATTTTTCAGTTATATCAAACGTGGGTTTTTGGGGACCTAACGCGGGTTGAGTTAGGTTTCTTCAAGTTAGGTTCTTTTCAGAACCTAATCCATTTTCAGAATGGTCCCAGCAACCTACCTCTAATTTTTCAGTTATATCAAACGTGGGTTTTTGGGGACCTAACGCGGGTTGAGTTAGGTTTCTTCAAGTTAGGTTCTTTTCAGAACCTAATCCATTTTCAGAATGGTCCCAGCAACCTACCTCTAATTTTTCAGTTATATCAAACGTGGGTTTTTGGGGACCTAACGCGGGTTGAGTTAGGTTTCTTCAAGTTAGGTTCTTTTCAGAACCTAATCCATTTTCAGAATGGTCCCAGCAACCTACCTCTAATTTTTCAGTTNCAGTTAATTATTCTACACACACACGTTACATGAATTTACAAAGAAAAAGTCAATTAATGCAGTATAGACTGTAGGTTTTGCAATAGAGAAGAGTTGAATTTTTAGTTGAACACAGGTAAGTTAAAAAATGGGAAAAAGCGCTAAGTTTGCTCAGATTATACCGTAACAATTAATTATCAGTTATTTAATCTACACATGTTATGTCTATTTACAAAAATAGTCAATTATTACAATATAGGCAGTTGGTTTTTACAGTTAAAAAATAAATACATTGTTAGTCAAACACAGGCAAGTTGGATCATGGAAGAATGCGCTAAATTTCGCTCGGATTATTATGTAATCAATTAATTATTAGGACTTAGTTATTGAGTGTTTATCTTTAAGACAGTCCAGACCCGCGAGCCAGCCCCGAGGGCCACCAGCCTCACCCTGTGGGCCGGGACCGTGCACAGATCCTAATAGGCCACTGAGGCTGGGGCTAGCCCAGTGAAGGGCCACTCCTATTAAAAATGCCAGCCCCTTGAGCCCCTCGGATCGCCTGTCCCACCAGCGCCAGCAGTGAGCGGGCGGAGCCCCGGGTCGGGCCCTTGGGTCGTANCTCTAATTTTTCAGTAATTTCAGACGTGGGTTTTTGGGGACCTAACGTGGGTTGGGTTAGGTTTCTTCAAGTTAGGTTAGGTTAGGTTAGGTTAGGTTAGGTTTTTTTTTTTTTTTTTTTTTTTTTTGTCTCCATTTTAGCCACAAAATGTTCTTTATTATATTATATTAGGGGACGTCCATTAGGACCTAAAACTAACTTACGCTAGTACAAAGTTATACTTAAGTTACAGTTCGACACTTTGGTACCGGCAGGCGTGCCACTCGAGAGTTGGTGGAGTTGCGAACCGGGCACGCGGCCCTCCGAGGCGGTGAGGGATGCCTGCTCACGGAGGGCCTGGGGGGACAGAAAAAAGATAGACTGGGAGTGCTGGGGGAAAGAAGTAGAGAGGTTTCCCCCAGCACTAGCCTTTACAAGTATATACATAGGCCGCCCAGTGCAGATGTTACGAACAAGGGATCTTAAACTAACTTACAACTAATTTACAATATGTAATGGTAAACACAAGTTTCGACTTATTTCTAATTAATTATACTGGTTTATTTGGCTATATACATGGTTACCAGGTCATTATTCACTACTTGTTGATACAGTTAATTATTCTACACACACACGTTACATGAATTTACAGAGAAAAAGTCAGTTAATGCAGTATAGACTGTAGGTTTTTACAATAAAGAAGAGTTGAATTTTTAGTTGAGCACAGGTGAGTTAAAAGATGGGAAAAAGCGCTAAGTTTGCTCAGATTATACTGTAACAATTAATTATCAGTTATTTAATCTACACATGTTATATATATTTACAAAATAGTCAATTAGTACAATATAGGCAGTTGGTTTTTACAGTAAAAAAATAAATACATTTTTAGTCAAACACAGGCAAGTTGGAAAATGGAAGAATGCGCTAAATTTCGCTCGAATTATTATGTAATCAATTAATTATTAGGACTTAGTTATTAAGTGTTTATCTTTAAGACAGTCCAGACCCGCGAGCCAGCCCCGAGGGCCACCAGCCTCACCCTGTGGGCCGGGACCGTGCACAGATCCTAATAGGCCACTGAGGCTGGGGCTAGCCCAGTGAAGGGCCACTCCTATTAAAAATGCCAGCCCCTTGAGCCCCTCGGATCGCCTGTCCCACCAGCGCCAGCAGTGAGCGGGCGGAGCCCCGGGTCGGGCCCTTGGGTCGTAGACTTAGTAATAATATACAAAATTTATTAATAGAGAGGCAAACTGATGTCGTTAATTAATTGATTTAAGAACTACGAGACCGTGAGAGCCATCAGGGCAAGCCCCGAGGGCCACCCAGGGTGTGATACAAAATGGCAATTAAATAGTAGAGCAATATTAATAAAAGAGATGAGACAATACATATTAAATTTGATCCTGCGGTCGGCGCCGCTCCGCCGAGCCTAGACGCCCACGCCGGTCAAGAAGCCGAA